GATAAGCAGCCCGCCAGGATGAAAATGTTATTACTCTGGTAATTGCCTAAAATCATTTTCTGCTCTTCTCAGGAAATGATGCACTTATTCATTCTTGCTCAGTGTTTTATCCATGGGCAGAAATGGGCTTTCTCTCCATTTCCCATGTGCTCTCGCATCGAGTTGTACGGGCTGCTGTTGCCATCAGCCCTGACCCTGTGTGTTCAGCTTGCTGCTGCCGGAGAGGGCCAGGGGGCATAACACAGGCTATTTTTTACCCCTAAGGAGTCTGTCAATACACTGATTCCTTCTCCAAGTGTTACACCATGTCACTGGTAATGTTTGTGACCTTCTGCAGACAAAGTTGTTAGTAGCTGTGGCGAGACAGCAATTTTTTCTCATCATATGGGTGTTTAACCTTTTCAGTTTTCTTCTCGCTGTGAATGAACACAATCTCAGCGTCTCCCCAGAGGTTCTTACCACCAGCGGGTCTTCAAAACGGCAATTAATCAGCAGGAAAAAATGTACGCCGGCAACTTGTTTTTTGTGAAACAGGCTTTTACTTATTTTCTCCTATTGTGTTTTGAGTAAAGGATTGAACCAGCAAGTTTTTTCAACCCTATCAACTACGGAGCAGAGAAACGTGTTATCAAAACATAGCCATGCCCAACGCTGGCATGGCGATGCTGCACCCTCCTGCAGGCATCTCTGGGCATCTCGGTGAGGGGCAGCACGAGGTGTGTCCCACTCCCCCCCCCTCCCCCGCAGTGGGCAGAGAGGAGAAGGAAGGCATTGATTTTAAAAGAGATTAAATAAAAGGACTCTTGCAACCCAGCGGCAATCTCCCAGGGAAGCAGTGTAACTGCAGGTTGGGCCAACCGCAGCCACCAGTGTCACCTTGGAGACCGGCTGGAAAACTCCAGGCCTCCCAAAAAAGGGGGGGGCCAACGCGGCTGGGTGTGTAAACAAGTAAAACGAGATGGACAAGGAAGGTCTGCAGTGAGCCCGCGGCCCTGCATCCCCTCCACTTACCGCCAGAGCCCAGCGAGAGCCTGGGAGCGGGGAGGCAGGTGGGGCACGACGCTGTCCCAGCCCCCCGACACCTCCCAAGTCCTGGGTGGAAACCCCGGGTGCTGGATAGCATTGCAGGTAAAGGATTTTCTCGTTTGCTAGCTCGCAGTGAGCTTCTCTGATCAGTTGAGGTTGCGGTTCGGCCAAGAGTAGGGGGTTTTTTATATACATATATCATTGTATATATTTTGCAAAAAAAGAAAGTAAACGCAAAATAGCAAGAGTAGTAACGCCCCACCTGCCAGAAGGTGGGAGCCGGATGATGCTGGGGATGGTGGAGAGGGGGAGGGGAGGCTGCTACAGGGGGGTCAGTGGGGCTGGGAAGGTGTTTAGATGGTTGCCAAATACTCATGCAGTTTTCATGCTCTTAATAATTTAATGACATTATTAGGAATAAACCAAATGGGTGCAGTTGGTTTAGGACACTTAATCTATTCCCAGACTCCGAGATCTTCTGCTCAGGCGTAGTGTGTGACTCACGCGTTTGGCCAGGACAGGGGCTTTCAGGAGCCTACGATAATCCAGAGGCTCGTACGGGTTTCTGCCTGCCACACTGGGGTGTTTTTCAGGATTTTCACAGGAGGCTTTTGGCCTCAGCTGAAGAATAATGTATAAACAAATGGTGCTGAGCTTAGATTAAATCTGATTCTCCAGGTTTAAGCCTCAGGCTTAGAGGGATGTAAAGGGATCTGGTTGCTGAACAGCCTAAGGTTCTTCTGGAAAAACCCAACCCAAAATTTCAGGTTTTGTATTTGTTAAGAAGAAATGCAATCATTTCTGTTCAGGCTGCACAACACAACATTGCCTACAGAAACAAACAATGCTGAGAACATGGGGTATTATAATTGCTCATAGCCCAGGCTGTTACGCAAAACAAAACCCTCTAGCATTCAGAATTAAATTAACCAGCCCCTTTTCCATTTCACCGTGGGAGACATCTGATGATCTTGGAAGAGATATAAGAATTAAAAACATGCAAAATTATGGTTATGACCTTTTCTTGTATTAATACATAACACATTTGTAAGGTATACAGAGAACTGTTATATTCAGCAAATCCTGACTGTATCTTTAATTACTTCACATCATCCAAAAAGGGGCAAAAGCAAAATGAAAGGAGAGGAGAGAGCATGTGAATCTCTGTGATTCCTCTGTCCTTGCTCTGATTCAGAATCTGTTTTCTTACAATGCAGTATAGTCTTTTAACAGCCTAGGAAGGGTTTATCTCTAGCTTAAACCAGCAGCCAACTGAAATAGGGAAGTGGTAGACATGTTACTATGGACCAGGCTTGCATGTAGTAGTGTTTATATTTAACTGGTTTTCTGTATTTATTGAATGTATAGAAAGGATTCTCAAACGCATACTGCTGTGTGACACAGGAAGCCAGGTCATGTTTAAGAGGCTTTAGTGTAATGTGTAAATGCAATCACTTTACAAACAGTCTTTAATTGCTGAGTTTTAGATAACAACATGGTGTTGGTGATTTTGTTATTGAACATTACAGAAAATGGAGATTTACAAAGAGCAGCAGAAATATTTGCTGTTAGTGTTTTTAACCATGATACATGGGGAAAAAAAAGAGAATATGTCTGCCTATGGCATTAGTGAGATTTAGAGTGCTCTGTCCCACTTTAAAAGGAACACTGGAAAAAACTGGAAAAGTTCAGGAACAACAGCAGAATTATCCAACATCCGTAAACTCATTTTGTAGCGAGAGTCCTAAGCTGTGTCTAATTACTTAGCCAAAGAGGGTTTAAAAGGGACCTTCAAGTGTTTGCATCTGGACAAATTTTTAATAGGTAGTTCTTTAATCTAGTAAAAGAAAGTAAAACAGCATCTAATGATTGGGGAAATTCAAGCCTGAAACAAAGAACATATTTTAAAAAGCAAATGATTCAATACTGGAACAACTTAGCCTAGAGATGGTGAGTTCTCAGCTACAAATGCTGGTAGGTGTAGAAGCAAACTTTGTACTTACTGCAGAGATAACTGAAGATTGGCCAGTTTCAGGGGCTTTTAATGAGATACAAGAGATCATAATACATATTATATCAGATGATCCCTCCCTAGCTTCAATTCGTGAATCTCTCTGCAATGATTATTTGATGTGTATTGCAGTATACTGGAAATGCCTCCGCTGAACCTGGGGCAAAGAGCTACTACGCTCTTTGCATGGTGTGTGTTTGCGTAGGTTTTTGCAGCGTGCAGTGGAGACAAGTGATGTTATCAATCGGTCTCAGTATTTATAGATCTATATAAATACATAACATAGTATAGAGGCATACTGCACAGTGCTATGCATGCGTTACGCACTCTACATATAGATGCATAGGCATTATAGATACATAAGCTATAGTACATAATTATATTATGTAAATTACATAAACACAGTTTGCACTGTGTTTATGTAACCTCACTGTATTTTATATTCTTGCCAGCTAAACATCTCCTCTTAAGGACAGGTCATTGTTTGCAGAAAACATTTTTGACTGTTGATCTCACATAGCTGTAAGGTCTTTCTGGTCACTCGTTAATGAGTTCCCAGAAGAACTTTGCTGATTCTGGCTGAAGCAAAAACTGAAATGGTCTCTTTTCTACCACGCTAGACTTCTACAATAAGCTAGTACTGAAACCATTTGGGGGGAACAAAAACATTTTATTTTTCTGTTTTTCCAAGCCCAGCTGGTGTTGTCTGAAGCACACGTGACATTACCAGCTGCCGTAGCCAATGCCCTGTAGACAGGAGTGGAGTAGTTAAGATGAAACAGTTTAATTCCACGTTTCTCAGTTTTCTCTGACCGATTCAATTCACACTTCTGCACATGCAATGACAATGAGATTGGAACGGCAATGTGCACCGATGATGCCTCACAGGGCCGCCCATCTTCTTCATCTCCCCATCCCAGAGCACCCCTCAGCAGACCACCAAGTGCCCTCCGAGTCAAGAGCTCTGCTGTAACTCAGCCCAGCCCTTCTGTGACTCTTTCATGCGCCAGTCCTGTGATGCTTTAAAGGCTGGAAAATATTTTGAGGGCCTTCGTGATCTGCAGACCCAGCAGCCAGGCTAGGGAGTGGCAGTCCTGGCCCTAAGCATGTGCCCCTAAAATGTCTGTACGGGAATGGGCAGCCCTAGTACTTTTAGCACTAGGCACAAATAATCCCTGTGGGAGAAGGAGCGACCCTCTGCCAGCCCGGGCGTGCTGCTCTTGGTGGTGCTGTTGCAGTGCTGCAAGTCCATGGGCTGGTTTTCCCACTTTTTATCCCACTGTCTTCCTCTGAGGGAAGCTGGAAGGCTTATGTGACTGTTGGCTAAGTCCTGAAATCCTGGGGTGCTAAATGCTGTGCAAGTTTAAGGTATTAATTTGTTCTGCAGTTGTGTTAAAATAGCACAAGGTGTCATCTGTAGGCGAGGTCAGGTCTCGGGGTGATCACCGTTGCTTAGACATGCAATGGGAGAAAGCCCTGCTCTGGAGAATTAGGACTACAGTGGAACAAAAGCAAACATAAGGAAAAGTCCTCACCCAGGACATGTTTTGCTGTCACAGCTCTACCTGTGGGCAAATGCTAACTGCAAACCTGGCCAGGCTGAGGAGGCTCAGCAGGGTTGCTGATGGTGCGGAGGCAGCAGTGCTCTCCTGGCTGCGTCCACCAGTTTTCACTGCGTTCGTACACTGTAGGCAGCAAATTCTTACCCACACTTTCATATTTGCATCTGGGTTAATCACAGGGTGGTTGGCTGAGCTGTCCTTTCAGGGTTGGTGGCCCATATTGGCAATTTCCCCTTCTGATAGAAGGATATAAGGAAAAGGAAATAGAGGGTCAAAATGAGTCCTCATGAGAGAGGTGCCAGCACCTTGCAAGTGAGGAATTTGGGATGCTCCATATACTAAGGCAGGTTTCAGCACTCTGCCTTGTGCATGTGAATCCACACCGTACAAGCGCTTTGGTCTTCCAGATGCCGGGCACAGCAAGGCATGACCGAGAGATGGCAATCCAGGCCAAAAGAAATCTGTCCAAAACCACCGACCCCGTAGAAAGACTTCGCCTGCAGTGTTTAGCAAGGGGATCTGCAGGCATCAAAGGACTTGGCAGGTGAGTCTAAGAAATCAAATCCATTTTTCAGCCTAATACTTTTAGCTGCTCATAGGCTAAGCAGGGACCAAAACTTGAGTTTCCTGGTTCCAATGCAAATGCCACAACCCACAGAGCCTGGGCTTGGGGCTCCTGTGTTTTAGGAGACAGGACTGACCTGCTCACCTGTTGAAGGACCAAAGACTGTGAATCCCTCAGAGGAAGGTGCTTCCTTGAGACCCAGAACAATTCCTGCCAGGGAGAGAGGGGGAACATAAAACATACCCCTCTCTCTGGTATTTTCTATAATTGACTTAAGTATCTCAATACTGGGGATTTTGTGCTTCCTTTCCGTTGGGGTGTGATTCCCTTGTATGTAATGGTCTATTAGCTGTCTAGTTTATGGGAGGCGTCTAGACTCCTTCTGCAGTCACCCTGAGAGTGTGGGTCACCCCACTCCTAGGAAAGGGGAGCTGCATCACACCCTGAAACTCCCTCCCGGGCCCCATAAACCACAGAGGGATCCTAGGTGACCAGCTGGAACTTCATCTACATGCCCAACTTTCAGACGGCTCAGTGTGTACTGAATAGGAAGACTGCTTCAGTTAAGGCAGCCTTCACCTCATTTAACTTCAGCTGTGTAATATTCAGGCACCCAATCTAAGCAAGTCATCTCTGCTGTCAATAAGTGTGCGTGTGGGGTTGTTGGTTTTTTTTTTCCTCCCTCTTTTGTTTTTTTTCTCAGAAGACTGTACAGTACAAGGGGGAAATGTTATCTCAGTAAGGTGTCCCCCTGCGGTTTTTTTCCCCTCCCTCTTTTGTTTTTTTTCTCAGAAGACTGTACAGTACAAGGGGGAAATGTTATCTCAGTAAGGTGTCCCTGTGCTCCAGCACTGTGCTTAAACCGCTGCAGCATTTTCCAAGTTTTCCTGTGCATTCTCCTCAAATTGCACATTTTTCACAGAGTATTTCGGATTATGGATGATGACAACAGCAGGACCCTTGATTTCAAAGAGTTTGTGAAAGGATTAAATGATTATGCTATGATGATAGACAAGGAAGAAGCACAAGAGATTTTCCGGATATTTGATAAAGATGGCAGTGGAACAATTGATTTTGATGAATTTCTTGTTACACTGAGAGTAAGTCTGGGAATTTATATTATTACTGCATTAAATGGAGAAAAAGTCTTGATTTGTCATTAGCTGAACACGAAACACAGCACTTTTGTTCACCTTAGTAATTAGCAAAGTCTACAGCTCTATTTAAAAAGTCAGTAACTCTTGAGAAGTTAAAATATTCTATTTCCATCTAAATATGCTAAAGGAGAAAATCACCCTAAACAACACCGCTGTGGATGAGAGAGCTCAGAAGCCAACATGTCTCTGCAATTTACTGGCAAGGCGTAAGGCTCCTCGCAAATAGAATAGAATAGAATAGAATAGAATAGAATAGAATAGAATAGAATAGAACAGAACAGAACAGAATAGAATAGAATAGAATAGAGTAGTTTAGTTGCAAATAAATGGTTGTGATTTTTTTTATTAATTGCTGCCTTGATTTAGGTACCTAAATTCCTATATTGTCGTCCAGGTACCTATGTGGTTCAGCCCATTAATCTCACTTCTTTGCCTGTCATTTTATGATGCATCTCCTTATAACATGAACTAATCCAGTGGTGGCTTTCTCTAATCAACCACAGTGTGACTGATTTTGGTTGGAGCCTCTTTGCTCTGCTGAAGTCTAAACAATTAAGAAAAAAAATAATTAGTGCTTAGAGTAATTAGTAATTTCTTGTTAGAAATATTTACAATGGGTAGAATAGAAAACTGTTCTAGGTAGCATTTTCTCTCTTATTGTCCATTTACTATCGTATTGACAGACACTGAATAATCTCGATCACACTGCTTTTTTGGTGATTGCCCTTCCTAGCTCATGGACAGTGTAGACTGTCAGTTTGTTGTCCCAGGTGCCTTGAAATAGGTTTTATATTAACAACAGCAGTTACTTGAATTTAGAACTGGCCAAGTAGTTGGCAGAAATAAAATGATTCTGTTAATATTTCTTTACAGCCTCCCATGTCGAATGCAAGAAAAGAGATCATCATGCAGGCATTTAGGAAGTTAGATAAGACTGGAGATGGTGTCATAACAATTGAAGACTTACGGGGGGTGTATAATGCAAAGCATCATCCCAAATACCAAAATGGAGACTGGACAGAAGATCAAGTTTTTAGGGCCTTTCTGGATAATTTTGATTCACCCTATGACAAAGATGGGAAGGTAAGTGAAACATCTAATGTCAAGCCATGAAATCACCATCTGACTCAGCATTTGACTTAAATTATCAAATCTGAGAGCGATCGCAGTACCAAACATGCATTTACATCACATTTATGGGGGACAGTAAAATGGATGTATAACCTCTGTGTAGGACTCTCGGCGCAGCTTGCTATGCATTCGGAGGCAAAGGGGCTCTGCAGGAGGTGCAAGGGTAGACGTGAGATTGCATTTACAGGCTTGTAGCCTTGATGCTTTACTTTCATAGGTTACTCTATATCTTCAGACTAACCCACACAATTTCTGATTTTCAAGATCCACATAAATTGGAGGATTTTTCACTTCTTAGGAGGATACATACCAGGATCCAGTTCAAAAGCAGGTTCCCTTGTATGTGAAGTACTTTACAGTTAGCGCTTCTCCAGTGTGTGTAATTACTGAGACACTTGACTTGGAAATCAGTCCATAATAGAGACAGATTTTTCCACAGAGAGTTGGAGGGAGGGTGGGGTTGGGGGGGCTGCCACCAGCCATGTGCCCTGAGGGGCACTAGCTGAGGCAGGGCTGGGAGCCCTTCCTGCCCTCTGCCTTGACTTTCTGGTGCAGGTGCAAAGCCTGGGCACCTTCTGTGATGGACTTCTTATGCATCCGCTTTGTAACCATCTCTGAGCCAAGCATGCTTTGTTTCCCCTGTTGTTATGTGCCTGCAAACTTCTTTGGTCTGAACTTACACGTGTCTGACCAACTCAGAGCAATCGTGGATCTCCGCTGGTCACATGGTGATACTCTCAATCCGAGCTGTTCATAATAACGAACTAGATAACGTTTCATCAGCTCTTTGTGGAATGTCTTTAACACTTCACACTTCAGAGGTTGCACCTCGGTTTTCATGGCTGCACTACGCTGGTGACTCCTACCTGTCTTACAGCTGGCTACTACATCCAAATCCCCCACTTGCTTTATTTCCAACAGGCAGGCTCTCAGTTTGTAGAGAGGTGATGGGTTTTATTTCACTTGGGCATGACTTTGCACTTGGTAGAGCTGAATTTCATCCCTTTTTCTGTTGTGTCATCCTCAGAGTACCAGTTACGTGAGTTGTCCCCTTCCTTCTCTGCAGCAGTGATGACATCTAGCAAACCTCAAGCAAAACGTTCCTGCTTTTTGTGCTGAGGTCATAAATTCAATGAATCCCCAAAATGATCCTTGACAAGTTCAGTGCCTTTTACCTCATAAACGCTGCAGTGTTTGAGCTTATAGAAAAGTTACTCTGAGCACCCACCTCTTGTTCAGCAATCCTGATGTTAGTCCACCTGATTGCAGTTCCTTCTGGGAACTGACTGTGACTTTCCTGTGCCGGAGTCTGAGATCACTAATGACACTGGTATGAGCTGAACACCTAAAATGTTTTTAGCAGAAATGCCTCAAGGCTAAGCATCTGCTAGAAAGGTCCTTTTCACCGTGATCTTGCTGGGTGCCTCTGAAATAGGCAGGGTCAGCGAAGCTTGTAATCGGTTTCTGATGGTAGGACAGTCTACAGCGTTCACTTCTCCCAGTTGTCACGTTTTACTTAGCTCTCAAATGCACAACGCAGTAGGAGCAAATATTTTTCTGTGATGTTTATTCAAAGAATGACCTATACAGTTCAAGAGTTAAGGCATCGCAAGAGACAGGCAGTGTTTGTATCTGCTAATCTGATTTTTTTTTTTAATGGTCATTTTAAAACCAATTCAACCTGAAAATACCCATGAAAGATATTCAAAAGTCTTAGGTATTTGAAAGAACCTCAATTCTTTAAGTGAGACCTGTTTAGAGCAATGGTATTTTCTCTCTAGTGAATGGATATAAAGCTTCTAGCTGTCTCTGGGTTGCACCAGAAACCCGATCCACTTTTATTAATAATAATGCAAAGAACCAGATTATAGCATCCCTGGAAAAAAATGTATTAAAACATTTGTCGTCTTGATCAGCACTGATTTTAACTTCAGTTCCTGGTAAGGTTAGTTTAACTCACGTTTCATTTCCATGCAAGTGTTCCTGGAGGACAAGAGCTCTTATTTCTAGCAAAGAAGTGAACTCAGGCAAATTTTCAGTGTCTTCATTCTTCCTGTTGGATTCCTTTTCACTAGCAACAACATGAAACAGCAGTTGTTAAGTTTCATTTAGAGTTCTTCTTAATGTGTGGTTTTGACTTATGGCATTAAAAAAAATAAAGGTTCATTTTCCTATTTTAAATCCTTCTGTCTCAGGTCACAACAGAAGAATTCATGAACTACTATGCAGGAGTCAGCGCTTCAATAGACACAGATGTCTATTTTATCATCATGATGAAGAATGCTTGGAAACTCTGATCATATGATTAAAGGAGCAAGACTTTACTTCCACCTTTTGTAGGTTCCCATGATTAAGTGTATGCACAACACCATGCTCATTTTCCATAATAACAGCTTCTAGTAACTGTGCCAATTACAGTCAATCTGCAGAAATAATTCCCACATGTTTTGGTAGGCTCAGCCTCAGGGGATTGGCGCATAATCAGAGAGCAGATCTGGCGTCCAGCCACTCTGCAGGTCTGTCCCTTTTCTCCCTGCATCCCTGACATGCCTTGTCTTTTCTGAGATGAGCTGCTCCTTTCTTCTCAGACATCCGCAGTAGGTCCCTGTGCCTCCTGAATGTATCCCCTCCTCCAGTGTTAGATACAGCTCTGTTAGACAGAAGATACAAGAGGAGGAAACTGAAATATTCTGGAAGGGTGGTGGTCTGGGGCAGACTGCTATAGATGTGAGGAAGACTGTCCCAGGAGGGTCACGTAGCCCTCTCACCTGTAGCACTGCAGCATCTCTTGGCTTCTTAAGTCTCACTTGTAGGATGGAGCAACTGCTCAGCTCGCTGCTGGGGACATGTGAGTTCCCAGTGCCAGGAGGCTGGAGGGAGAAACAAATCAAGAAGGGGAGATACGGACCAGAATAAATGCAAAACGCTCTTTAAAGCCCTGTTTTCTCCCTGGCTTACAGCTCGGCAGACAGGCATCTTTCCTGGGCATGCCTTGTTTCAAACCTCTGTGGGCCTGCTTATAGCTTTTTTCTCCCCTTTGATTTCTTTCTTTTTGTACTGTGAGATCTTCTCACTAATATCTTTCTTTAAAGGGCATACGTGTGTTACAGTATTTTCTTCTAACTCTTTCTGGAACATTTACTGGCCTGGTAGCTGTTGTCTGTACACACCTGCACTGAAAGTTGCTTACTACTTTTTGTATTTATACTGGTTTATGACCAAGCTATGACTTCAGGGAACTTTCTGGGAACTAAAGAACTTGTAACTTTCTTGTCTTGTCATCTTCTGCTTCTGATGCTGAAAAAAGGATGGGAGCCTGCCCTCCTGGTCACACCAATGAGGCTGTCTCAGTTCTGAGATCTTCTGTCCTTTTCCTATGCAGGGAGTGGGGAAATGGTGCACAAAGGAAACTGTTTAAAAAAAAAAAAAAGAAAAAAGAAAAAAAGAAGGGTGTGTGTGCTGTCTAATTATTCCTGCCTTGATTCCTTTTCCTTTTGTCATCTTCTTTCTGCTTCTCTCGCATCATTTTGCTGCTCTCCCAGACTGAGATGCTGCTGCTGTAGCAAAGAGTAAATGGCTTGTGTATGGCGGCATTTGCTCCATTTCAGGCTGGCAGCCAGCTAAAAGCAGTACAGGCTTATAGACTGGACTTTCAAAAGAGCTTGACTGATGAAGTCTCAGCTCTTACTTAGCCTGGGCTGCTACAAGTTCAAACACTGAAGTCCTGAATGCTTACTGCTCTGGTCCTATGCAAACTCTGCTTTTGTTTTGTCCAGCCATGATCTCAGTACAAGCAATAGCTGCTTGCAATTCCTCAGTAAAGGCTGTGAACTCAATTATTTTCTTTGATCTGTAAGCCTCCAGAAGCTTGCATACTGGCTGACACTGGAAACCGGTGGAAAGAATCTCTTTAAGATTGCCATCGATCATACGAGGAGCCTTTACTTACTGCGATGCTACTGAAGTGCCAACATACCTTATATGAAAAACAAACTTATTATCATATAGAGGCTGTACATGTCCTGGCAGCTTGAGTAGAATCAATTTATTTCTCATTTATTAATTGGCTCCACAACAGGGTGTCATGTTATCTGTCTGCTATGTTTCAAATAAAAAGGAAGTAATGTGAACGGACTGTGGGAATCACAAAATGAAAAAATGATTTCCTTCTGACATGCTATCTAATGTCTTGAGACCCCACAGAGATCTGTTGTGCTGACATTTAATCAAGTGCAGTAGAAGTTTTAATCTCAATAACTGCAACCAGTTTGTCTTTTCAGTGCTAATACTTTCCAATTTTATTTAATCGCAAATGCAATATACCTTTTCAGAAGGGAGGAGTGGTACTGGAAGCAACTATGATTTTTTAAAACCAGCAGAAGCTTTGTCACCGGCCTCCGGGAGCCTTAGCCAGAGCCTGTGACAGCTGGGGAAAGCTCAGTGCTCCAGGGTGAGGTTTCTGCACTGAGCTTGACTAACAGGGTTTTGTCTGGGGACCTGAAGGATGTGATCCAGGAGAGCTCAAACCCTCTCATCCTGGTGGGAGGGCTCAGCACCCACCCTGCAGGTGAGAGCCGCAGCCAGTGCACCCCTCGTGCCCTCAGAGCAGCTCCTGGCTCCTTGGGTCTGCCTGCATGTGGACCTCATCGCTCGCTGGATACATTTCTCAGCATCAGGGGGACATTTTTCACAATGTAGTCATTTCAAAATTTGTACGGAGCACATTTCCAAGGGCTGGTTTCAGATTCCTTCAAAGTCAGTGGCAAAGTTTTGTTTCACTTCTGTGGGAACAGAGTTGCTCCTGGAGCAATCTGAGTAAAAACTGGTAACTGCAGAAGAGGCATAGTGCTTTCAGGAAGAAGAAATAATCTGGGAAAGAATAACATGATTTTTCACTGGTAATCAGATGCTGTAGAACACAAATTGGAATCTGTGCTGTAAGAAATGTCATTTGATTAATACGTGTGCAAATTCATGGCACAAACACAGGCATTGCATTGGCTGCTAGGTAGGAAAATCTCTACTAGGAGGCGTGCAGCCATAATGACACACTGGGCACACACACCTGAGACTCAGTGGAAGCACTTTGCAGAGGTTAAAGCAAGTTAAAGGGATTTGAACCTGACATGAATGAGTATCGGGGCTAACAGCAGGTGCCCAGAGCTGCCCTTTAGTACTTCACTGTCCCTGTCTGCTGGGGCTGCTGCACTGTGATCTGGAAGAGACAAAAATGAAGCTCAAGTGCCCGTGTTCAGCTGCAGGTTGCTGTGCACCGGTTACAGACCCAGCAGATGCTGGAGATAGATGGTGATGCGGGCTGTCCTGCCAGTCTGTGGTTGCACAGCGCACACGGCAGATACTGGGAGATAGGTGGCAATGCACGCGATTGTATCTGGCACTAGCATCAAGATTGTCAGATCTTGGTCGGTGCTTCATGTTTGAAGCACTATTTCTTCTTTCTGATTGTGCAACAGACGCTAAACAGGATGGCATAAACCATAGGAACATCTGAGTCTGCAGGGCTGTGGGCCAATACGAGAGGCAAAGGTTTCGCCTGCACCTTGAGCTCCAGCCTGCCCCATGGCACAGCGCCTTGTCAGGGCTGCCACCAGGCAGCACCAGGAGCGTGCTCCAAAAATGCTGGTAGAACCCTGTGGTCCCTCATAGAGGGGAAAGGCTCCCTTATACCTCTCCCAAACTCTGCTCCAACCTCTACCTGAGCCATCAGAGCATCTCTGTGACCCCCTCCCAAAAGAGCACGAGGCACGGCGGGGGGGGGGGGGGGGGGGG